GCCTGATCCTGGGAGCTCAGAGTGTCAGCCTACAGCGACAGCCCTGTCCTGTTTGCTCTCCTGGTGGCCAGGCACCCGGGCTGCACCGCGGGGATGTGAACTCCCAGGTACTCTAACTCTCAGCCTGTCCATGCAAAACAGCCACAGCAGGTCTGTGAGGAGGGCTCACCAGGTGCCAGCCAACAGGAGCGAAGGATTGGAAGCTAGGGGGATGCAACAGCAGTGTCAGCTACCCCTCGCTTTCCTGAGCACGTGGCCTAGAGTGGACGCTGATCAATGGCGTTGTATTCATGATCATAATAACTGGTACTTACTAGTATTGACTGCTCTGCACCCGACGTCCTTGTTAGCACCTGATACACACGAATGCACGAGTCCTCACACCCACCATATGGCTGGGATTAGAATTCCCCCATTTCACACCTGAGGAAGTGGAGAGGGTGGTGGCTCCAGGGTCCGTGCCCCGCCTCCCACAGCACCTCCCTCTCCTCCCTAATTCCCCACGATGGCGTGTTGACGTGATGTGTGTGATTATGTGACTGATATCACCTACACATACATCACACACACACACACACACGAATGTAGGTGTGATGAGGACAGGGGCTTGTTTGCCACTGTCCCCATGATACCTGGCTTGGAGCTCACAATGGGCTCTAAGCAAATGTCTTTCTCCACCTTGTTGCCCTTCTTGGTAACGTTTGCAGCAGCCCTTTGCACAGCCGTTCCTCCCACTGCCTAGCATTCCTCAAGGGCTTCCCAGTGCCTGACCCAGCACCAGGGAGAGCAGGACACGCTTCCTCAGAAGGCCGAGGAGAACATGCAGATGCCCTCCAGGGACTGAAGGCTGTAGGTGAAATATGGCGCATATAGAACATTAATATACAGTTTTATAAAATTATGACATTTAATATAGATATTAAATGTAAATAAATGTAAAATATAATGCATAATAAAACATATGTGATATATGTAACTTTTTCCCCTGAGTTCTTCCATGAGTCAGACGCACCTTCAAATACCTTAGCTCACTTGCCCCACACAACAATTGTGATGGTTCATTTAAGGCATAGACTTGGCTAAACTCTGGTGCCAGTTTTGAGCCTTCCCTACACCTTGACCTAATATTCCTCACACGGCCTTGCCAGGGACCTGGGAACCTTCCCATTCTTAACAGGCTCAGAGAAGTCAAATATCTCGCTCAGGGAAACACAGTAAGCAGAAACCCTAGACAAAAACCCCGATCTCTGACTCCGCAGCCCCTGCTCATTCCCCTGCACCTTGTGTCCTGTCTATTAACCTATCAGCAAATATTTAGCTTAAGCCTGTTGTTCGAGTCAAGGCTGGCTGAAAGCCAAGGCTCCATTTATGATTCAACCTAATTTGTTGAGCTTTCTCTAATCTCCTGGGTTGGACATTGATCCAAATGACTTAATCACTTTTGCTGCTCATGACTGTTCTGCCCTGCAAACTTCCCTTTATCAGCAAAATATATATATATATATATTTGCAGAATCTTCATCATTAGTGTGCTTTGCACCTGGGCCTTCCAAGCAGTGCAACTCCCAGGACCGAACGAAGCTTTAGAATTAATGAAAGGATTTGCACAGTAGGTGCCTTTCCCTCCCAGATTTATTTTGCTTTAGTGAAAATGAGTGTGAGGTACTTTCTACACATGCTGAGCAGCAAGGTGAGGAAGAAAGAGGTCTTGAAGTCAACATTAATATTGAGTCCAGAGTTGACGGCATGTGGCTGAATGACAAATGCTTTGTAATTGTTTTTCATTTCATTGGTTTCCTTTTTGAAAAGATGTTTTCCTCTTTCAGTTCATTTATTGTTGACTCTTCTTCATTTATTATAATTTCCCCCGATCTCTTTATACCAAGTGACATCTATCAGAAGCCAGCAGGTGTCCTCTGGTACTTGCCAACACCTGTAGATTGGTGATGGCTGCCTGAAACTCAGTATTGAGAAGGATTCTGAAGTTGAGTCCAGACACACAGGAAGAGAATCCTAACTTTCCACAGTGCCTGCCAACAGCCTGTGTTATGTATTTGCCCATCTATACACAGTATCTTCTGAGTGCCAAACTTGGAGATATGTAATGAGAATAGCTTACATTTATTAAGCACTAACTGTGTGCTTATATTACATTGATTTTTTCAGTGTGTTTTTATTAAGGGTGCATAAGTGCTCCCCACAATATACGTGCAAGATGAATTTTGCAACTAATAATTTTTATTACTGATAATGTGTATGTTTACAATTAGCTTCTGGTAATACTAGTTCTTTTTAAATTTCTAGTGGTATTATAAAACTTGCTTTGTAAATAGGTTGATTTACATTTTAAAGGCAAAATTATGTAAGTGAATGATATTTTAGGAGGCATACAAATTAGACAACAAGCATGAACATGGTACAAGAATGGCGGAAATTTGGAACTGCTGAAATTTAATAACCCTGTGATGATGGTGTGAGCAGACTTTGCATATTCGGTTGAGGAAATTGAGGCTTGGAGATTAATAAGATGCTTAAGGTTCATGGAACTAGTATGTGATACAGCCAGGATTTGAACCCAGGAAATCTGACTGAAGAGACCAAACACTCAGTTGGCCTCCCATGTAATCACATCTGGGTGTAACCCCCACCCCTTGAGTATGGGCAAGACCAGTCACTTGCTTCTACTCAATAGAGTATGTATAGGTGATGGGATGTCACTCACCTGATTGTGTTATGGAAGATGCAACATCTCCCCTCCCAGGAGACTCTCTCCTTTGCTGGTTTTGATGGGTAGACAGCTATGTTGGGGAGACCCACATAGCAAAAAACTGAAGGCAGTCTCCTGTTAAAAAAGAAAGTAAGAAAGAAACCCATTAAGTCTTGGATTAACCATCAGAACCAGCAACATGCACCAATTATCCAATATCTATTAAATGCTTCTCTATTAAAGTCCATACTAAGGATAAAGGAATTCTGTTCTCATATTACAAGAGTTGATTCTTTTTTAAAAATTTATATTTATTGTTGAAAATATTACAGATGTCCCTTTGTTTGTTTTTGTTTTTTTCCCATTGACCCCCTCCACCCCGCACCCTCTCCTCCCAGGTCTTCACCACACTATTGTCTGTGCGCATGGGTTATGCATATATGCATATAAGTTCCCTGATTAATCACTCCCCACCCACCTACCCACCCCCACCTTCCCTCTGAAATTCATCTGTCTGTTCCATGTTTCTATGTCTCTGGATCTATTTTATTCATGAGTTACAAGAGTTGATTCTTATTCCCACCTTGAAATTCTCTTTCCTCGCAGTGTAATTCACTAGGGGGACAAGCTTGGATTTAGTTATTTTTAACATCTAAATTGTAGAAAATTATCTGAGGTCACTGTTCTCAAATACTTTCATAATTTTTAATTCCAGGTACATTTTAACTGTAAGAAAACCCCACGAATGAGTTATCTTACTTCTCATTGAAAATGAATAAATGAAAGCAAGGAAGAAAACGTGAAAGTGAGGAAGCAGAGAGGCACCAATGTTTTTAGACATCAATGAAGTGGATTCCATTTTTCACTGAATAACAGAGGCAGATTATTAATTAAAATGAGCGATGAAAACCGTAAAGCCACTAAGATGAGCTCACAATTGCCTTCTAGAAATACAGTTGGCCAGATCATAACTACAGAGACAGCAGGAAACAACAAATATGTGGCCATCATGTTCTCAATGAGGTTCCCGAGACTAATTCCATCTTTTTTGTTTTTCCTCCAGTTTCCGGATAAAGGTGCTGAGTCCGACATTGGACAAGCATTAAGCCAACCTGCCAAATCTTTCCAAGGTTCACTAGCAAGTGACCTGAAAAAAATTCATATTAAGGCTTTAAACGTCTACAAGTGCCGGAAGAGCTTAAAATAGTTAACTCATCAACCAGCCCAGAATGAACCTAGGATAAGCTTGTGTAGCATGTTCCTTGCTGAGACCAGAAAAAGAAAAGAAAAAAAAGTAGGAAACAACTTCATTTGAGGACTACTGTATGGGTCAATAATATCAAACTTCTTAGGTCATGAATGGCCATGGTAGCTATTCATGTTCTGCCAGATCTGGTGAAATCATATTTTATCCCTAAATTTCTTTTTTTTATTTTATTTTATTTTTTTTTAAACAACTTCTGAGGACTACTGTATGGGTCAATAATATCAAACTTCTTAGGTCATGAATGGCCATGGTAGCTATTCATGT